ACAAGAGATGATCAGAGATTGCAGATATGATACGGGACTGGATGATCAGAGAATGCAGACATGATACAAGAGATGGTCAGAGATGGCAGACATGATAAAAAGATATGATCAGAGATTGCAGACACGATACAAGAGATGGTCAGAGATGGCAGATATGATACGGGACTAGATGATCAGAGAATGCAGACATGATACAGGAGATGATCAGAGAATACAGACATGATACAGGAGATGATCAGAGATTGCATACATGAAACAAAAGATTGTCAGAGACTGCAAACATGATAAAAGAGATAAGAAAAGACTGCAGACATGATACGAGAGATACGCAGAGACTGCAGACATGATGGAAGAGATGGTCAGAGACTGTGTATGCAGGAAAATCTAAAAGATTACTAAACAGTGTGGATAAAGGAATCTCACCTGCTGGCTATTGTATTCAGCAGCCGGCTGCACCGCAGCTGCCAGGATCCAATAACAGTGACTTTACCTTGATGGATGCAGTTACTGTTTGGTCGACAGTTTTCCAGCCAACTCCTTTTTCACCTCAAGTTTGTGGAGCCAGGTGGTGCCAATAGGGTCACCTGGGGCTTGAATTTTGCCCAGTTCAGCAGGAATTGGTGAAATTCAAACTGCGTCTAGCAATCTCTTTAGATTTACCTAGACTATGTAAGAAGAGGACCTACCTAAACAATTCATTGAATGTGTATCCAATCAAAGTTGTTGTTTGATTGTAAAGCTGAATTCCAGCTATGGGTATTTTGCATTGTTGCGTTGCTGTAGCTTGTATCATGTATGTATGTGCCATACCTGTGGGATCCCTGTGGAAACTGGAAATCACTGTACTAGACACCACTACTCCAGTGATCTCCACTAGCTTCCAGGTCCATTGCTGTGTGGCTGCCCTGCTGTTTAGTGAACACAGGAGGTCGCTTGCTCTGCATGGCTGACATTCAGAAAACACCTTACATTTTCTCAATGAATGCTAAACGTTCTCTGGAAGAGGTAGAGATTGTGACGTCAGCTCCCCGCCTCTCCACCTCCTCCAGTCAGAGAACACTTGCATGCACTGAGAAAATGTAAGGTGTCCTCTGAATGGCACCCTTGCTGGACAAACTACCTCACTAAGCAGCAGGGCAGCCGCTCTGCACAGAAGCTTGAAGATAATGGAGATCACTGTAGTAGTGGTATCTACTTCAGTGGCTTTTAGCTTCCAGGGGGATCCTACATACATCAAATTGGACAATGTTAAGCCTCGTACACAGGATGAGAATATCGGATGAAAATAAACATTTTCGGAGCAATTGGCCCATAATCTGATCATTAGTACTCAGCTTTCAAGAGCCAATAATAACAGTTCATGCAAAAATCCAAAGAGACAAGCACAAAGATTTGTCTCATAAGATAACAGAACTATTTTCGTGTAATTACTATAGTATTTGTACGGGAAAAGAAAATCAAGTGACCAAGACCGCTCATCCTCGGAAATGAAAGAATACATTACAATACATTACATCACTTCCAAAGTTGTATTCTGTTGTACGAGAATTTTTGAACTTTTGTAACCATTTCATTTTTGATATGAGACTAGCATGCAAAAAAAACAAATGATCATTTGACTGATATTCTCATCATGTGTATGAGGTTTAACGTCAGTCCAAGAAAGAACAGTTTAAAATAACAGTCACACATGTGATATTCTAATCTCAGAACACAGACAACTCAACTATGTTAGAATCAATGACCATGAATAATCCCCCCTTCCTGTAAAATGCTTCTCCCTCTTGATAAATCATATCTAACACTGACACAGCCAGCATACTTGTTCCAGGCCAGAGACTCTGCCATCCGTGAATCTGAATAGGTTCAGTTTTACCATCTTATACCAAGCATAACCCAGAGGATGTAAGCTTCTACCAGAGGCTTCTGAGTTTGGTTTTGTATGTAAATTTCCCTCATTGTACAGGAATTACAAACTGGATGTCAGAGATGGGCAAAGCTGAAACTCAGGAGTTACATTTGGGCTGAGCTCTGGACACAAAAACTTTTTTTTATATACTCCTTAACAGACCCAATAGATAAAGATCCACTCTGAGAGCACCGAGTGCCTTTGCAAATCCAGTTGTTACCTTGTTAGAGTAGCAGTGATATAATCAATGTGCTGTACATAGCCTGTGCAGATAGCAAAGCTGTGGGAGGGGCCTAGAAGGCCTAAAAAAAGCCCAGTATAAAAATCCAGGGACCAAAGAGAGAAAGTCCAGTATAAATGTCCAGGGACCAGGGAGAGAAAGGCCAGTGTAAATATTTAGGGACTGTAGGGGTAAAGGCCTAGGAATGTCTAGGAACCATAGAGAGAAAGCCCAATATAAGAGCTGATTCACAAATATGCGGTGCGGATTGAAGCTCAGGTTTCACAGCTAATTGATACAGTAGTTGTTCATAGGTTCGCGTCAGGTTCAGGACAAGATTAGCTTAGGATCTTATCTTGTTCACACATATGCGGTTTAGAAACAGTTGTCATAGAAGTCAATAGCCTGTAATCTGCACCTGAACCTGATGCCACTGCTCAGAAATTGGAAATTACTCTTTTTAAAACCGCAATGAATACTTTGAATCTGCATCGGCCATGCACCGGAGATATGTGATCAGGCACCAAAGGAAAAAAGTTCAGTATAAATGTCATGGGACCAGGGAGAGAAAGTCGAGTATAAATGTCTTGGGACGAGGCAGGTAAAGCCCTGTGTTAATGTCCAAGAACCATGGAGAGAAAATCCCAGTATAGATGTCCAGGGACTAACGAGAGAAAGTCCAGTATAAGTGTTAACTTTTTGTACAAGTTCAGTTTCATGTAAGTATAAGCCAACTTTTCAGAGCTTACTATTGATTCTTTCCACACCCCCATGTGACAGTGCTGGGCCAATCACAAGCCAGATAGCATTCTCATATGGCAGAGGGGGAGTGAATCCTATGCTATGAGAGGAGCAGTGGAGGTGACCCTTTTACTTTGCATGGTCAGGGGAAAGGTTCACTTTCAATATGAGTATCAAAAAAAGAAACTTCAGAAAAATAATAGCTAAGGAGAGAGGGTAAGGAAGGGGTTAACTAGAGCCAATTATAGTTAACTAAGGGCTAAATAGGTACATTTTTTATTAAATATGTAATTGTTTTTCTTTCATATGCCAGCTTTCTTAAACTGACATCATCTGCAGAACAAAGGTCACTCCTTTGATCTGACATGAGAGATCAGTAGGAATATGTTGTAATCTCACTGAAAATAGCAGCACAATGGCCTTGGCTGTGAGTAGGGACCAGGGCTTACGAGGAACACCCTAGCTGGATGGAATTTTTTTGGGCATACCTTGTATGTCCAAAGTCTTTAAGTGGATAAGTTCCCTTGGCCAAAGATGATCAACATAATAAATACAGGGGGCTCAGGGGCCACCCCCCAAAATGTCTGAAGGGCCATATTATACCATTATTTTCAAAGATTGCTACTATTGTTATTAGAATGGGATTAGTAACATATCATTACTTCCCTCCTCCAGCACCTACCCTAGTTCACTATAAGTGACAAGCTGCAAGTTGTAATTTTAAAGGGCTTTTACCTTTTTCAATATTACTTTTCTATGTTACTCAAAAAAAATCATTGATTTGTGTACATTTTTAGTGATGCATTTATGTTATGCAGATCATTAACGTGTGTTTTTTCGTTATGGCTAAGATTAAGAAATATGTGGCCAGTATACTTCAATTCTTCAAAATAGCATCCAAAAGGTTTATTAAAATGATCCCATAACTGCATTAAATAGCAATGTTTTGAGCCACGCAGGTCCTGCGCAAGGGGTGCTGTGGAACTCTGAAACGTCACTATTTTATGTTGTTATGTGATCATTTTAATAAACCTTTTGCATGCTAGTTTGGGGATCCATAGTCTGGCCACATATCTCTTGATCTGTGCTTTATTCTGGTATCCAATGGTCGATGCAGCACCCATTTACCAGTTATTTCCAGTACTGTGTGCACTGGGAATACTTCTCTGGCTTTTTCGTTAAGGCGGCCCATTTGTTTGAATAGGCTGTGCATTGGCAATGTGTGTTGGGCTGCCATTAAGAATGAATGCATTGGAGCACATCAACACTCATAATGGTTGTGTTTGGTGATGCATGTGTTAGCACAATGCAACAGTGTGAACCCAGCCCCACTAGCACCACCACGTGGTGCGCTGGAGCACATGTATATTTGTGTGTTGTGATTGTTGTGGTGCACTACATTAGGCAGCCCTTTTAAAATAAATGGACTTCAACACACTTCAATGCACAAATAGTTGCTATTCCAATTTTTTTTGCAGTACAAGGCAATACACAAAACACCATGTACTCTGCCTGGGGTGCAGTGCACATGCATTTTAGAGGTGTGCTGGGGTGTCTTTCATAATGTTAAGCAACACAGTACATCCATGCACACAGCTTGTGAATGGGCCCTGAGAAGGTTTGCACAGACAAAAACTTCCTTAAAAAAATATGTTTAAATGATTTATGCAGACAATTTTGTTTAAACTATCCAAACTTATATACATATTTAATTTTTTTCATATTTTTCCCATATAGAGGGTCTTGGTCAGGTCAGGGAAGATATGATCCAGTTTACTCCCAATGCACCTCTCCAGCAACAGATCTCTTATAATATTCTATTGCTCATTGTTACCAGTTCAAAGAAGAGAGGTCTACTCTGTCTAAACATGAATGATGGAGTGATAGGAAGTGATGATGACATCACAGATGATGTAATGGATGTCGTGCAGATGCACTGCGGTTGATTTACTAAAACTGAAAAGTGCAAAATTTGTAGCAACTGTGCATGGTAGCCAATCAGTGTCTAATTTGTTCAATTCACAAAAAAAAAAACTGGAAGCTGATTGGTTTCTATGGGATTGGAGCACAGTGGTCCACACATGATGAATCCTGATGCACATGCTGGGCACCACAGACCTATCCTATATTTGCCATAGAGTCAGGGGCGGACTGACCATTTGGAAACTTGGGCACTGCCCGTGGGCCCGGGGTCAGTAGTAGTGGGCCCCATGAGATGCCCCTGGTACCTTTTTCATAGGCTTTTTTTTTAGTTTGGGCAAGGAAACAGGGGCCCCATGATCCCCTATTGCCCGGGGGGCCCCATGAGTTGTCAGTCTGCCCCTGCATAGAGCATCAACTTTTGTAGTTCAAAGTGCCCTTTGTATACAGCATTCCACAGGATGACAACTGATCATAAGAAAATCATAAGAATCACATTTATATCCACCAACCTCAGAGGCCTTTTAAATAATGAACCCACTGATTTCTTCATGCCCTATGCAGATGCCCACCACCCCTTCTCCTGCAGGCTACTTACAAATAGGAAATGGAAGTTCCATCCACTATTCTGTATGACCATAGCGGTCATTGGTGATTTGCTTCTATAGTATTTAGAGCACAGCACAGGATTCCCCCCATACCAGGGGTGGGCAACTGTGGCCCTCCAACTGTTGTAGAACTAGAAGCCCCATGAGGCATTGCAAAATTGACATTTACAAACATGACTCCCAAAGGCAGAGGCATGATGGGACTTGTAGTTCACCAACAGCTGGAGGGCCACAGTTGCCCACCCCTGCCGCATACAATGAGCCTAAATATACTTTGGATGCAAGTGGGTGAATTTCATTATGTTGAATACAGTCCAATGGTGAGATTTCCCCCCACTAGTTTGTGCCCTCCCACATTGATGAGATTTCCTCACAATAGGTCACATCTCTGCCCTTCAGCAATAGTAAGCTTTCCCTGCAGTAGATTGTGTCTCTGCCCCTCTCACATTGGTGAAATTCCCCTTCCAGTAGTTTGTGTCTCTGCCCCTCCCACAATGGTGACATTTCCTGCAGTAGTTTGTGTCTCTGCCCCTCCCAAAATGGTGACATTTCCTGCAGTAGTTTGTGTCTCTGCCCCTCCCACAATGGGGAGATTTCCCTGCAGTAGTTTGTGTCTCTGCCTCTCCCACAATGGGAGATTTCCTGCAGTAGTTTGTGTCTCTGCCCCTCCCACAATGGGAGATTTCCTGCAGTAGTTTGTGTCTCTGCCCCTCCCACAGGGGAGATTTCCCTGCAGTAGTTTTGTGTCTCTTCCCCTCCCACAATGGGGAGATTTCCTGCAGTAGTTTGTGTCTCTGCCTCTCCCACAATGGGGAGATTTCCTGCAGTAGTTTGTGTCTCTGCCCCTCCCACAATGGTGAGATTTCCTGCAGTAGTTTGTGTCTCTGCCCCTCCCACAGTGGGGAGATTTCCCTGCAGTAGTTTGTGTCTCTTTGTGCCCCCCCCACAATGGGGAGATTTCCCTGCAGTAGTTTGTGTCTCTGCCCCTCCCACAATGGGGGAGATTTCCCCCTGCAGTAGTTTGTGTCTCTGCCCCCCCCACAATGGGGAGATTTCCTGCAGTAGTTTGTGTCTCTGCCCCTCCCACAATGGGGAGATTTCCTGCAGTAGTTTGTGTCTCTGCCCCTCCCACAATGGTGGGATTTCCTGCAGTAGTTTGTGTCTCTGCCCCTCCCACAATGGGGGGATTTCCTGCAGTAGTTTGTGTCTCTGCCCCTCCCACAATGGTGGGATTTCCTGCAGTAGTTTGTGTCTCTGCCCCTCCCACAATGGGAGAGATTTCCTGCAGTAGTTTGTGTCTCTGCTCCTCCCACAATGGTGATATTTCCTGCAGTAGTTTGTTTCTCTGCTCTCCCTCAGTTTTAGGATCTCCCTGCACATATTTGGGGTTTGTTTCAGTAGGATACCACACTGCATGTCCTGCGGTTTCCTCCGCTCAACCATGCTAGTTCCACACAACAACCAAATTCCTGCTTCTGTTTCCAGAGTGAAGTTTCTAATCTAATAAAACAGCTAATTGGCTGATACATGTATTATAAATCAACCACTTCCTGTTTAAAGGGGACCTCTACCTCTGCATAGAACACCCATCCCACCACCAATAGTCTCATCATCAAACCTGCCAGTGGTAGACATCCTCCGTGTTCAGGCCACGGCTTGCTCATGGCTGGGCCATATTTACAATGTGTGGAGGACCTCTGATCATGTGACATATGCACTGAGGCCGACCAGAGAGGAGGACGCCAATGTTCTCTACAGCTGAGCCTGGTGCAGGAGTGACATGTTAGAGGACCGCTGGAAGGTGAACAAGCTGCCGGGCCCTGAGCAGGCCATGGCTGACAATGGGGGACGTCTGTGATACTTTTCAGAGGGTTTTAATATCACTGCTAAAAGTAGCGTTACCGTTTAATTGATTTATACCCTTAACTGATACCGACTAAAAGTGTAATATTGTTCCCATCCACCTGAAATCCCCTTTTAGTGGATTTTATTGATAACTCTTTTGAGTTGAAGATGTATTGTCGATGATAAATTTTGACATAGTTATTGCAATGATGGGCTGTGATCGGTGATGAGCGAATTGAAATAATCTGAAATCCCAATCTTGATCCTCCTTACTCCTTGCAAGTAAATCTGTTTGAAATGCCAGGAATCACACAATTTACTGATAATAAACGTTATTTCACAGACTTCGCTCAACACATTTGTTGGTTTTACCTGAGGAAATTATTTTCATATTCGATAGACCTGCAGAAATAAAACCTTGACACTACTTCCTCAGGACAGAAGCCAGTGTCCTTGTTGCAGCAAGGCCCCCGATGGGTAAAGTGGGATCCCTGCAAGCAAGGAATCGGCTTTGACTTTGCATGGACAGAATTTGCTGGCTTCTCCACCCAGAATGAGGAGGCCAGACTTGTGTGTAGCCTGAATTAAAGGATTGGAAGTCATCATAACTCAAAAGATGCATTTCTAATTTAATTGCAAACAAATTCAGGGGGGGGGGGGGGGTAACAAAGGCTCCAGCTCATGGAAAAGTGTTTAAGCTTTTTTTATTATTATTATTATTATTATACAGTATTTATAAAGCGCCAATAGTTCGCTCAGCGCTGTACATTACAAAGGGGGACAGAACATGTGACAGAACAATACCAATACAATGCAAAACATGAGGGGATCGAGGGCCCTGCTCTTTCAAGTTTACAATCTAGGAATAGATAATTTAAAATGATCTATTCCTATGCAAAAGGCACCAAATAAATAATCCTAGTGCAGGCAGATTTGTTAATTTGGTGCATAAGGAAATATAAACATAGAATATGTAGAACATATTAAACAAAATGCAGAAACTGCCTGCATTTTTTCTGTGTGAAATGCTGGCAAACTTGAATGTTACTAACCTACTTTCTCTCCAGGGTGGATGTTATTCATTCATAAGAATAGAGTGAATCAGCATTATGGCCACTAGAAGAAGATGACGCTTATGTTAAAATAAATATTTATTTCCTGTGTTCTTCAGCTACATCTAGTGGCCATAATGCAGTATTTTCCTGATTCACACCATTTTTATGAGCAAAGAAAATGGCTTTAAACTTTTGATTTTGCTATTTTCGCTAGTGAATGCACATGCAGTGTTGCAGGACAAATAACTCTACATTTTTTTTTTTTTATAAATAACCCCCTATATTGTATTTGTTGAAAAAAATATATAGTTGGTACTAAATATTGTGCATATTTGCCATAAGTGTCACAAATTTGCAATATTGATCACATGTAGGTTAGAGATATAAATGCACCAAAAATAGGGGAAAACCATGAATGGTTACTTCATAACTCAAATTGCCAGATGTCTTTTTTAAAAATGTTTTATATATTAATGTTATAAAGTGCTGAGCAATCCTGTATATTATTATTATTATTATACAGTATTTATAAAGCACCAATAGTTCGCTCAGCGCTGTACATTACAAAGGGGGACAGAACATGTGACAGAACAATACCAATACAATGCAAAACATGAGGGGATTGAGGGCCCTGCTCTTTCGAGCTTTTAATTATTATTATTATTATTATTAATAATAATAATAATAATAATAATAATAATATATTAATTGATATATATATATTTTATATATCAAAATTTTTTATATATATATATAAAACTTGCCTTAAATATAAAACTCTATTTTGATTTACATTTGACTTTGCATTCTTGTAATCTTGAATATTTAGATTTAGCTTGTTAAGACGTCTTGCACGTGGCCAAACATTAGACGTACAGCAGTACAGAGTCGAATACACTTGTTATGGCACCCGGGATCTACAGCTGCAGCATTTCTTTGCCCATTGAGATGCAAAAAAGGCTGCACGTGGCTATATGCACATAACCGCTGGCACTCACATTGACGCATGCACATGTACAGAGTATTTTTCAAATTGTAAGAGTTTATATTTTCTGTAGTGCATCCCATTGGGTAAAAAATACACTGTAGCTGTGGCAACACTACATGTATTTTACTTTTTACTGCCGGATGCCTAATGCATTGGTTGTGTGAAAGAGTCCTCTGTCAACATTTATTTTGTTTTTTCAAAATATAAATCAAAAACAATTCAACAATATAAAACTTAGATAAAACCTTTACAATCGTTGCACGCTCATTATCAGATGAAACTGCCAACTCATCATTTTTATATAAAAATGACACGTGGCTTTTGTTATTTTGGAACGTTTAGAAATTGGTAATTAGTCAAATGACCTTATTTGGCCTATTTTCTCAAACAGGATTATCGGTTTATTAATTTGGTGCACAGCTCCATCCTAGCTTCTGCCCATAAATTCTGGTCCATAAATATTAATTCTCTCCCCATAATTTCACATAAGACAACATGCCAATGCTTGCCTTGAAACACTGGCAGACTGACCTAACGTATGTGACATTGTGTGTTTAAATTTAATCTTGGAAAGGCAACTTTGGAGTGCTGATGACTTTCTATCCTTTAGTTCTGGTTTTGTACGGCGTCATCCGTTGCAGTCACTACAAAAACCCTCGGAGTTATACTGGTCCAGCACTATCAGGACTGTGTGGCTCTACACAAGATTTGCTGTGTGTAGCCTTTCACCCTGCCCCAAGGGCCCGGCAGACACCCTCCCTGGGCTGTGCGCTAATACAGCTCCTATTAGATAATTAGCAACTCTCGGGCCATTCTTCTCCCTCACATTCCTCATAAAGCCATGAATGAGCAGGTCTGTGAGGAGGGGCCTTTCGCAAGGTGACAAGGACTCTGTGCACGGGGGCAGTGGTTTGAAATGAGGCATTGTGGCCTAATCAATGGTTTTATTGGATTAGAGCGCGTTCTGTGTGAGGTGCTCTGGTGGGATAATAGGCAACTTTCTGCTCCATGCTGGAGGGGTGTGAATGGGGCAGGCTCACTTCCCTCGGCACCTTGGAGCCCAGCTGGATGGGTGAGGACCCTCCGCAGCCCCAGAAAGAGTTTTCCCCCCAGTCCAGGAGGGCCGGGGATGGGAACTGGAGGACACAAGAGCTGATTTTGCTCTCTCTGAAGAAAATTGCTCAGCAGCAGCAGAGGAGGAGGAGGAGGATGATTGGGGAGTCCTGAAGGGCAGCGCGGGTGATTATACCCAGGGGCTGACAATCTACGGGGAATCTTCTCACACAAAAGGAAAGTTGTTGTTTGTTTGTGTCATTCCTGGAGATGGTGATTGACTCCAGCAGACCAATCACTTGTGTGTGCGCCTCTGGATAAGCTGGACTTGATTGGGGACAAGCTCAGGAACCGTCCATTTGTGATCTAATATATTAGCCAAACAATTTAGTGTATTCATGAGGTAACCTCAAAGTGGAGGCTTGAAAATTACCCGTAATCAGTGGCAGCATCTAGTCAGCGACCCCTTGTATGATGAGTGTGTCTAATAAGGAGGCATGAGAGCTTTTTACTGCTTTTCCTCAATCACTGGACACGAGCAGCACCAGATACAAGAGCCTGCGTGCACCTCAGGAGCCTGATCATCCTTCAGACCCCAGACCAGCACACGGAGACCCCCTGCCTGGGGTAATACCTGGTGACCCTGTGCCCAAACTGACAGCAGTGTACCTAAGTGCCCTGGGTACCAACTAGGGACCCATTGCCCAATTCAACACCAGGATACCTCAGTACTAGTTGGAGACCCATTGCCCAAATCAACACAAGAATACCCCAATACCAGCTGGGGACCCTATTTATTACCAGGTTACCCCAGTGCCTAAAGTACCAGCCTTGGACCCTTTTCCTGGCAGCACAGAGCATTCTTCTCTATATATGTTTGAGAAAACGCGCAGTATGGACATTAGGTGCAACCCTGGCACAGAGGAGCCCCGAAACACCAAACCTGGACACAAGGAAGGCAAAGACTCCAGGGACAGCCAAAGCAGCCTTGGGGACTCTTACCTCAAGGAGCAGCAAGCCACATACCCATCTCCTGGAGTCTCCGACACCTGTGTAAAGTCCAAGAACAGTGGAGCAACTGACCCAGACTACTGCAGGAGGATTCTGGTCCGAGGTAACGTGCCAACTTCTGTCTCCATAAATCAGTCACTCAATACCAGCTTGTATGTCCCAGTGCCAGACTGCCTCCATCTTCTCTCTAACCTCTGTTATACATGCCATGATATCATATACCAGATCGTATGCTTCCATACACATCGTTTGTCATATGCCAGCCTCTGTACCTTCACACCAACCAGTATGTCCCGTACCAGCCATCATAAATTGAATACTATACCTGTACTGGAGGAATATTAACCTACATGTCAAATTCTGCCAACTAGTGAGACTGCCTATCTAAAAGGCAAACTTCCCTTATCTGCAATACCAATATAATACTTATGCTGGTGTCCATTCTTCTCATCTACCTTCTGCCCCAACAAGTTTCAGACTTCTGGATTCCAACTCAACAACACCAGCCTCTGTTTCTCCATAGCACCCTTCTCCCCACCATACCAACCCCTGCCCTCCATAAAAACCTCCTAATCCCCATACCAGCTCCTGTTCCTCCACACCAACTTCCTAAAAATTATACTAGCCTATTGCCTCTATAGAAACCTTCTACCCACCATGCCAACCTCTGTCTCTCCATAGTAGCCTCCTAAAACCCTTACCAACCTTTGATCCCCCATACCAACCTCCTACACCTTTCACTAGACTATTTTCCTCTACAGCAGCCTTCTACCCACCATACCAACTTCTGTCCCTCTATATTAGCCTCTTAACCACCATACTAGCCTCCATCCCACAATATTAGCTCCTAACCACCATACCAGACTCTGTCCCTCCATAGCAGCCTCCTAACCCCCATGTCAGGCTCTCTCCTTTCACACCAACCTCTTCTCTCCATATTAGCTCTATCTCTTCACAGCAGCCTCCTACTCACCATACCAGCCTCTTGTTCTAACCACCAGCCTCCAATCCACCATACCAGTCTCTAGTCCTGTCTAGAAGCCTCCTACCCACCATACCAGCCTCTGTGTCCTCTCTAGGAGACAGGGTTGGGAGAAGTTAATGTTTTGTCCCTATACTGATCTGTGTAAAGCAGTGGTAATGTCCTCGCACACTTGCCTTCCTCCGAGCCTCCCCCAGGGACAGAATTCTTTCATTGCCTCCTAGCACTCTTCTCAGTAACGCTTTTGGAGGCTTCCTGTATATCTCCTAATAATAGACAATAATCACATCTTTATTTCATTAGCTTAATTAGTGCCATAATGAGAAATTTTCCCACAGTGAACCTGAATTCTGGAGACAAAATCTCCAATAAATTGAATAAAAATCTACCTCAAGCTCCCAGAGAGCACTCCTACTTCAATCCCCTGGGGTCCGCTTGGAGTTCCTGAGAGGGACAAATGTTCTTCCCGAAGGGAAAATACAGAGAGAAAATACTACAGAGCGCCACTATTATTATTATTAGCAGTAGTAGTAGTAGTAGTAGCATTATTATTAGTAGTAGTGGTAGTAATTTTTTTTTAATATGATTATTATTATTGTTCTTGTTATTATTATTTTTATTGTTATTATTAAAATAATATTAGTTATTATTATTATTATAGTAGTAGTACTACTAGTAATTGTATTATTATGATTATTATTGTTGTTATTACTGTTTTTTTTTATTATTATTATTATTATTATAGTAGTAGTAGTAATCGTAGTAGTAGAAGTAGTAAATAATACTAGTAGTATTTGTATTATTATTATTACTATTATTGTTGTTGTTATTACTATTATTATTATTATTACTATTTTGCTATAATTTATAATTTTTTTAGAATATTATGATGGTGTAATAACAATAATAATACTACCACAAATATATATTTTATTACATTTTTTTAAATATATAGTATAGAAATTGCAATAATAATAATATTAATAATAACAATAATAATACTAATTGTCCCTCCACAACACCTGATAAATAATATAAATAAATATTATTTATTATAATTTGCTTATTCTTTCTGTGATTTTTCTGATTTAAGTGTTTATGGGGATGATAAAAATCAGTCGCAAATTGCGGGAAACAGGAAAATAATCGGTACGGTTCCAGAAACATTGCGGGAAGATCAGTGTGCGATGTCCGTTTATATTGTAAAATGATTTCTTCATACAGAATATCGGAGAGGAAATTCTTCGATTTATTTTTGCACCTAAACATAGGGAACTGTCCAGTCTTCTTCTGGTTTATTTATTCTAATAATTAGATTTCAGAAGTAAAAGAGACAATGATCCGATTCCAGCGTTCCTGGGCTGTTGGGGGCTCACAGGAGGAGTTGGTTTGGGAGCCCCAACAGAACGAGGGAGCCCTCCAGGGGTCCCTGTGATGGACGGTTTGGAGAATTTGGGTTTCGGTGAAGGGACCCCGGAGTCCCTCCTGTTAGAGATGTCAGTTGTTGGGATTAGGGGTGGAGTAAGGGAACTTTTTGGAATCAATTGATATTCTTTTCTGCCCCATCAGATGCCAAGGGCTCCATCCGGGAGATCATCCTTCCGAAGGGGCTGGACCTGGACCGGCCCAAGCGGACCCGAACCTCCTTCACCGCGGAGCAGCTGTGTACCGGCTGGAGATGGAGTTCCAGAGGTGCCAGTATGTGGTGGGACGAGAGAGAACAGAACTGGCCCGGCAACTCAACCTCTCCGAGACCCAGGTATGGGGCCTCACTGGAGGCTCAGCATCCTCAAAGTGCCTCCAATGAACCTTACAATGCAGAGCCTTCACTGTACAGAGCCTTCATCATACCATACAGAGATACCATACCATACCCCCCCATCATCACACTGTACAGAGCCTCCATCATACCATACAGAGCCTCCACTGTACAGAGCCTCCATCATACCATACAGAGCCTCCACTGTACAGAGCCTTCATCATACCATACAGAGCCTCCATCACACTGTACAGAGCCTTCATCATACCATACAGAGCCCCCATCATACCATACAGAGCCTCCATCACACTGTACAGAGCCTCCATCATACCATACAGAGCCTCCATCTAACCGTACAAAGCCTCCACTGTGCAGAACATTTATCATACTACCCAGAACCTTCACCTTATTATACAGAACCTCCACCACACAGAGCCTTTACCTTATTATACAGAACCTCCACCACCACACAGCCTTTACCTTATTATACAGAACCTCCACCACACCTCACAGAGCCTTCACCTTATTATACAGAACCTCCACCACACCTCACAGAGCCTTCACCTTATTATACAGAACCTCCCACCACTCACAGAGCCTTCACCTTATTATACAGAACCTCCACCACACCACACAGAGCCTTCACCTTATTATACAGAACCTCCACCCACACCACACAGATCCTTCACCTTATTATACAGAACCTCCACCACACCACACAGATCCTTCACCTTATTATTCAGAACCTCCACCACACCACACAGATCCTTCACCTTACTATTCAGAACCTTTAGACAGCTCCTCTGTCATACCAAACAGAGCCTCTCATTTATACAGAACATCCAGTACACAATACAGAGCCTCCACCTTATTATACAAAGACTTCACCTTACTAGTCAACCTTCATACAGAGCCTCTAATTTATTATGCAGAACGTCCACTACACAGTACAGAGCTTCAAACTGACTATATAGAGCCTCCACTTTATTACAGAGCCTCAGCCTTATTATACAGAGTCTCCACTATTAGCCTTTGCAAAACAGAACCTCCACCTTGGGGAGTCTACGGGAGCCTCTTAGTACTTTAGTATGGCTTCACCATAAACTGCCTCCTCCAAGAAATGATCCACAATGTATTCTCCATCCAGAACTAACGGGACTATCACTGTACAAATCTGCGCAAATTTACTGAGACTAGCAGCCGATCAAATTGTCCCGATCCATTGCTGAGGGTGACAGAATGAAGGACATAGTTTACAGTGATGTAAGCATTATGTCATTTATATATCGTATTTTTGTAATAATCTCATTATAAACCCCATTATATATTATTTCTATCGGTACACTTTAGTCTCATCGTACTATAGGATTATATTTCATTCATTTCTGGAGGGTCCTATCCTATATATCGGCTGCCAGATTTCATTCTCCCTCTCCGACCTTCAGACACCGATGTGAGAATATTCTGAGATCCCGAGTGAGTCCAGTTCTGGGGGGATTCTGTGTTCTGTGGGGGGACACCAGCAAGGGGATTTTGTGGAGTATGTTACTCTGCATCTCTCTGACATTAATAGATTATAGATGACATCCCATTCGTCTTCTGTGTATCATTATATTATTTTATATCATATTGTATTGTATTACATAACGTTGTATTCTATTCTATTCTATTCTATTCTATTATCCGGCTGGGACTTTTGGGCTCTTCTTGTCTGTTAACTATTGTACACAATTATTTCCCAATAGGTAGTTTTCTCTTCTACATTCTACATCCTTTAAATCATTTATTTCCTATTGGTCATTTACCCCAAAATTCTCCTATATGTGAATCATGTATTTCCCGATCTGTACTGTCCTCCCATTACACCGCCGAATGTTTGTATACTAGGATATTTACTAGAACTAGAACATAGAACACAGATAGAAAAGGAGGGAAGTACACGCTGCGATCCATAGTCCGACCCGAGGTACCCAAATCGTCCTGTATACCCTGAACATCATAATAATAATAATAACAACAATAACAGTGATATTATTATTATTGTTATCATCGTTATCTATGACGAAAAAAAAAAGAAAACAAATATATAATAATATTAATATTCTGATGGTCATCATGATCATTATTATTGTTGTTGTTATTATTATTATTATTATTACTGTTAGCAGCAGTAAAAAAAAAAAAGTGAGAATACATAAATATTCTTTTTTTATCATTAATATTATGAATATTATTATACAGATCTCACTTTAACTTTTTATTTATTTCTATAAATACCAACAACAACAAAACAACAATAATAATAATAATAATAATTGTTGTTTTTTATTATTATAATACATTATTAACAATCATCTCTATTAATTACTATCTTTATTAGATTGTCATATTTTAACATTTTTCATTTTATTACAATTATTCTTCGTATCCTTATGCGATTCAATTATTATGTAATCCTCCGGTGTCGGCGATGGTCGGCTGTGTGTGGGGTGTCGGAGAGACCCGGTTTGACTCCAGATACATATTTTTATATGGCCACTTTTTTTTTATACGGTCCGACACCCCCGAACATGAGAAGATGATTATCGGGCGATGAATGCTCCGATGTATAGGAATATATTGAGTGTGTATAGAGGACATCGGCCCATATATGTCCAGTATATTCTGTGTACAGAGGAGATGTGTTCCCGGTCGGAGGGTCGGACCCGGCTGTAGATTGTGCAAAGTAGGGTGCCTATCGGGACGATTTGCTGTCTGTAGGGATATCATTGGGACTTTTCTTCTGACTGGATTGAGGGGATGTGGGATCGGGAAATAACAATCATCTCTGGGGAGGCGGATAGGAGATGGGATCTCCGGGACAATCCCCGATTTGGGCACATGGCAGATTCTACTGCCGGGACAATCTGTCCTACGATTCAGATCGATCAATGACACCACTGACAGTATGAATATTCTATCCGAACGCACCTTGTGACATTGTTCTAAAATATACCTCTGTCTGCCTCATTCATGTCGGTCTGATTTCATTTTATCTGTATATTATCATCTAATTCATGTATTTCCTCAACACCCTGTCTTCTCTCACTGCCCAATGGTACTCCATACCCCTTCCCCTCCATATATACCCCTCTATACCCCTCTCTATATCCCTTACCCCCATATCCCACTATACCCCTCTCTATACCCTCTCTCTCTCCCCCCCCATACCCCTCTCTATATCCCCCCTCCATACCCCCCTTCTCTCTAAATCCCTCTCTATATCCCCCCCAAACCCCACTATACCCTTCTCTCTATATCCCTTTCCATACTCCTCCACACACCACTATACCCCTCTCTATATCCCCCTCCCCCCCTTATACCCCACTATACCCCTCTCTATATACCCCCCCCCCCCCATACCCTACTATACCCCTTCTCTATATCCCCCCCTCAAACCCCATATACTGTTCTCTATATCCCTTCCTATACTCCCTCCACACCCCACTATACCCCTCTTTATATCCCCCCCATACCCCTCTATCCCCCTCCCCCCATTACCCCATTATACCGCTCTCTATATCTCTCCTCACTCTACCCCTCTCTATTATCCCTTCCCATACTCCTCCACACCCCACTATACCTCTTTCTATATCCCCTCCCGCATACCCCAATATACCCCTCTCTATATCTCTCTCCCCCATACCCCCACTATACTCCTTTCTATATCCCTTTCCATACTCCTCCACACCCCACTATACTCCTCTCTATATTCCTCCACCCCATACCCCACTATACCCCTCTCTATACCTCTCCATATCCCACTATACTCCTCTCTATATCCCTCCTCCCATACTATGTATAACTATACCCCTCTCTATATCCCTTCCCCCCCATGCTCCTCTCTATATCCCTTCCCCCCATACCCCACTATACCCCTCTCTATACCTCTCCATATCCCACTATACTCCTCTCCTATATATCCCTCCCTCCCATACCCTACTATACCCCCTCTCTATATCCCTTCCCCCCATGCCTCCTCTCTATATCCTTCCCCCCCATACCCCACTATACCCCTCTCTCCCCATATCTCCCCTCCCTCCCCCACCCCACTATGCCCTTCTCTATACCCCTCCCCCCATACCCCTCTCTATTATCTCTCTCCCTCCCATACCCCTCGCTATATCCCTTCCCATACTCCTCCACACCCCCCACTATACCCCTTTCTATACCCCTTCCCCCCATACCCCACTATACTCCTCTCTATATACCTTCCCATACTCCTCCACACCCCTCTATATCCCTTTCTCCCCCATACCCCACTATACTCCTCTCTATATCCCTCCACCCCATACCCCACTATACCCCTCTCTATATCCCTTCCCATACTCCTCCACACCCCACTATACACCTCTCCATATCCCTTCGCCCCATACCCCACTATACTCCTCTCTATATCCCTCCCTCCATAACCCATTATACCCTCTCTATATCCCTTCCCTTACTCCACCACACACTTACTCCACTATACCCCTCTCTATATCCCATCACCCCAATCCCCCACTATACTCCTCTCTAAATCACTCCCCCCTCCCATTCCCCACTATACCCCTCTCTATATCCCTTCCCATACTCCTCCACACCCCACTATACCCCTTTCTATACCCCTTCCCCCCATACCCCACTATACTCCTCTCTATATACCTTCCCATATGCCTCCACACCCCTCTATATCCCTTTCTATATCCCTTCCCCCCATACCCCACTATACTCCTCTCTATATCCCCCACCCCATTCCCCACTATACCCCTCTCTATATCCCTTCCCATACTCCTCCACACCCCACTATACCCCTTTCTATACCCCTTCCCCCCATACCCCACTATACTCCTCTCTATATACCTTCCCATACACCTCCACACACCCCTCTATATCCCTTTCTATATCCCTTCCCCCCATACCCCACTATACTCCTCTCTATATCCCTCCACCCCATACCCCACTATACCCCTCTCTATATCCCTTCCCATACTCCTCCACACCCCACTATACACCTCTCTATATCCCTTCCCCCCATACCCCACTATACTCCTCTCTATATCCCTCCCTCCATAACCCATTATACCCTCTCTATATCCCTTCCCATACTCCACCACACCCCACTATACCCCTCTCTATATCCCATCCCCCCATCCCCCACTATACTCCTCTCTATATCCCTCCCCCCTCCCATTCCCCACTATACCCCTCTCTATATCCCTTCCCATACTCCTCCACACCCCACTATACCCCTCCCCAGTACCTCCATACCCCTCCTCTCTCTATACCCTTCTCCATACCCATCTTATTTCTATACCCTTCTCCTTACCCTTCTCCATACCCCTTCTCTCTTCATACCCTTCTCCATACCCCTTCTCTCTATATACTTTTTTCCATACCCTCCTCTCTCTATACCCTTCTCCATACCCATTCTCACTCTATACCAGGGTTTTTCAACCAGGGTTCCATGGAACTCTAGGGTTCCTCCAGAGGTTATCTGAGGTTCCTTGAGCAATTAGCAATTTCTGCCTCTCAGATAAGTTCCCACTCACACCACTGATCTTTTTATGTAGCTATCTGTAAGGAGGTAATTCTTCCCAATGACGACAAGTGTAAGGAGCATTTTTCTCACTGACCATCACACTAATGTATCGTGAGTTGAAGATGTAGCAATTTTCAGCAGGGGTTCCCTTAGACTGTAAAGTTATTTCAAGGGCTCCCCTTTGTCGAAAAGTTGAGAAAGGCTACACTATACCCTTCTCCATACCCCACCCCTCTCTTTACCATATCCATACCCCTCCTCTCTATATACACTTCTCCATACCCTTCCCCATATTCCTCCATACCCCTCTATATCCCTCTCTATACCCCTCCCTATACTCCTCTATATCCTCTATATCCAACTTCAGTACCTCCATATTCCTCTCAATTACCTCCATACCCCTCTCTAAACCCTACCCCCATACCACTCCTCTCTCTGTACTCTTTTCAATGCCCTTCTCTATACCCCTCTCTCTACTCCACTCCATACCAATCCTCTCTCTGTACCCTTCTCAATACCTTCCTCCATACCTCTTCTTTCCACACCATTTTCCATTCCCCTCTTCTCTGTACCCCTTTCCTCTCTACCCCTCCTTCCTGTACCCTTCTTCATACTCCTCCTCTTCATACCCCTCTCCATAGCCCTCCTTGTACCTCTTCATACCCCTCTATTCCCTTAAAAATATTCTCTATTCCCTTCTCTATCTCTCTAATCTCCATCATCCTCTCCATACACCTTCTTTCCATACACTGTATCACTCCACACCCCTCTTCCCTTCCCCTGTCCCTCTCTTCCCCTTCAGTCTTCCTCTTCTCTGTCTATTCCTTTCTTTCTCTCTCCCTCCCTATCTTGCCCTTCCTCTATATTCTCTCTCTCTGTCTCCCCTTATGGCCATACTACTTTCCTCTTCCTTCTATCTCCTTCTTTCCCCCTCTCCCCTTCAACTCTCTCTGCCTCTTTTTCTCCTCCATCTCTCTCTTTTTTCTCCACCACACTTTATTCATTCCCTCTCCTTCATTACTCTTTTACTCTATTGTGTTTTCTCTTTTTCTCCTCTCTCCTACCTCTAACTTCTCTCTTTTCCTCCCCCCTCCCTTCTCTCCTCCTTGCCTTATCTCTCTGTCCTCCCTCTTTTCTCTTTCTCTCTCTGTCTCCCCTCCACACACTTTCTTTCTCTCTCCTCCTATCTAGCTCATATGGTTCTCTGTTTGCTGTCTTGACAGGTGAAAGTGTGGTTCCAGAATCGCAGGACAAAGCAAAAAAAGGACCAGGGTAAGGACTCTGAGCTGCGGTCAGTTGTCTCAGAAACTGCAGCCACCTGCAGCGTTCTCCGGCTTTTGGAACAGGGCCGTCTTTTGTCCCCTCCTGGTCTGCCCGGACTATTGCCAGCCTGTGCTGCAGGAGCACTGCGGGCCACCAACAGTTCTGGACCTGGGGCTCCATCCATCCCCGAAGTCACCAGTGCCCCTCCTCACCAACCTGGACTGCACACTTCAGGGCACAGCATCTTCAGCATGCCTGTGCCATCTTTACTGGGCACTGTGGCCAACCGGCTATCCGCTAACCCACTGACAATGGCAGGGAACCTCCAAGAACTCTCCGCCAGGTACCTCAGCTCCTCAGCCTTTGAACCCTACTCTAGAAATTCTTCTAAAGAAGTTCTAGAGAAGAAATCCCTGGACTGACTAATCCTAATGTGGGGTGACACTCTTTGACTAAATGTATCAGGCACGTGACACCACTAACCCTGAAATATTCCGATTTTTTTACCCCTAATGTCACCAATCCCCAACCTCAGAATGCTCAACCGTTTTTATGCCATTGAATGCCAAACTTCTGTGTACTTTACTCCTTAATGCCATAAACCTAAACCTCAGAATATTTAAATTTACTACCACCAATCTCCAAACCTCAGAATATTAGAACTTAATGACAGTGATCCCCAAACTTCAGAACTCTGTAACCTACTGCCACTGACCCTTTCCTTCATAATGCCATCTACCTAAACCTCTGTATATTATACATTTACCGGCCACTTTTTTAGGTACACCTTGCTAGTGCCAAGAAAATATCCCCCACACCATTACACCACCCCCAGCCTGAACCATTGATACAAGGCAGGATGGATTCATGCATTCATGTTGTTTATGCCAAATTCTGACCCTACCATCCGAATGTTGCAGCTGAATCAGTCTGCCCATTCCCCTCTGATCTCTGACATCATCAAGGCATTTTCGTTCACACAACTGCCGCTCACTGGATATTTGCTCTTTTCTCTGATCATTCTCTGTAAACCCTAGACATGAAAATCCCAGTAGATCAGCAGTTTTAAAAATACTCAGACCAGCTTGTCTGGCGCCAACAACCATGTCAAATTCAAAGTCACTTAAATCCCCTTTCTTCTCTATTCTGATGCTCGATTTGAACTTCAGCAAGTCATCTTCAACACGTTTACATGCCTAACTTCATTGACTTGCCATGTGATTGGCTGATTAGAAATTTTTGTTACCAAGCAATTGAACAGGTGTACCTAATAAAATGGCCGGTGAGTGTAACTTACTACCATCAATCCCCATAGCTCAGAATATTAACATTTAAAGCCAGTCATCTCCGATCTTCAGAATACTGTAACCTAATGTCACCAATCCGCAAACTTCAGAATACTATAACTTAGTGCCAGTGACCCCCCAAATCTCAGAATATTATATCTTAATGACAGTGATCCCCAAACTACAATACTAACTCCTAATGCCATTGACCATCCAATCTCTGAGTACTTTCCTTCTCAATGCCATCAACCTAAACCTCGGAATATTATAATTTACTACCATCAATCCCCAAACTTCAGAATACTGTACCCTAATACCACCAATCCCCAAACGTCAGAATACTATACATTAAAATATTATATCTTAATGGCAGTGATCCGCAAACTTCTGAATACTGTAACCTAATGCCATTGACCCTCAACCTCTGAGTACTTTCCTTCTTAATGCCATAAACCTAAACCTCAGAATATTATGATTTATTACCATCAATCCCCCAAACTCAGAATATAAAAATTTAAAGCCAGTGATCTCTAATCTTCAGAATACTGTAACCTAATGCCACCAAACCTCAGAATACTATATCTTAGTGCCAGCGACCCCCAAATTTTAGACTACTCTACTTTTGATACAACTGATGCCCAAACCTCAGAATATTGTAATTTAAGAACACTGACCCCCAAAAGTGAAGGCCTACAGCTCACTAATCCTTTTCACAAACACAGACTTCCAATCATTTCATCCCCCAATCTTCTCCATCCACTGAACACAAAACTTTAGGGTGCCCTACTCCAAAAACCAACCCTCCTTCTTAAAAGCAAACTTCCCCAACACTCCAGAACACCAGAAGCAGGAGTTTTAAGCCCCTTGCCAACTCCCAATTACAAACTTTGGGAATTGTACCACCCATAAACACCCTAATGTCAGACCTCCTAGGAGTATAGACCTTCATTTTTCCTGTCTCCCTGTTTCAAAGGGAGGGACTCTGCCACTGTTTCCTGTCTCCAAGCACTGTACCCCTGACCCCCACCAGCCACCAAATATTGACCAGAAACCCAGAGCTCAGCTCGGCTGGAAGGACCCACTGAATGCACAAGGAGTAATATGCTAGCAAAATAGAGTTTTTAAAGCAGCTAAAGAGTTTTCTGCATCAGTCACCCCTGTCAATGACATGAATTGGAATGTTTGGAAAGTGAAAATGAAAATTGTGTAACAATCGGTTGTTCTAGGATGTTCAATTTCCATCTGTCATCCCTGAATGAAATGTTTGTGCTTCTTATTCCAGTCGTGTGTTACGGATAATAACGCAGCAACGTGCCAGAGAGATGAGTCCTGAATTATCTCAATATATGAAGTCCCCCTTGGTCCACCCTCTTCCCTTTCCCAGTATTGGCAGCGCACTTTGACCCCTGCGATCTTCCCGTTACTGTCCTTTAACCCTTTGTCTGGCCAAATTTTTTTTCAGAAAATGTTTTGTAGAATATGCTGCGTTAGGAATAAAAGGTTGACTCAATGGACATAGACATTTTTTTTTAATAAGTGACTGAATACAAAATTGTCATTACAACTTTTTAGCTCCGCCCAGTACCACCAAAGAACCAATCACACACAAGCAAACGTCGAGGGAGAGTCTTAAGGAACCTTGCGCTGTGCCCACCTTCATGTACTCTCCGTGTCCAAGGACGGAGATGTCAGTTTACTGACGTTACACCAGCAATTGTCACTTAGTACTTGAAATGTGTTCTGGGGCGCCTTACACAATGACATACTCTGATCAGCTGACCTGGTGTGCTCGCCCCCGCGGACCTGCGTCACCTGCTCCTGAGCCAGAGAAACCGTGCACCTCCATGCAGCTGAAGGACAGCCTTGTACGGCGCCATAATCTTATTCTAATATTTTTATTGTAAACTATTTAAGTGAAGGGAATGTAGCTGGATTATGGAAAATTTCAACACCTGAAATTTACCGCCAAATTTTTTTTTTTGTTTTTGTTCTGGATGTCCAAGGTTTGTTTTGTGTTAATGTTGTGCGAGTGACTTGACATCTCTATATATGAAAGAAAAAACTATATATAAAAAAATTTAATGTATTTTCACATTCTATTTAAACACCAAATTATTATTATTTGATATGTGGGAAGATTTCATGTGTTTCTGGCTGTCTGGATCCGCAATTAAATGGAAATGAGGCGATGTGCGTGGATCGGTGACTTGTGTCTGTTCTTTTCTCTGTTTGCTGATGACCCATGGCTCCTCGGATGGGCCTCGGTGCGTCTGTATAACAAAAGAAACAAGCACTTTGAGTAACGTTTCTTTCTGTATTGTGGGAGGGTTGCGCTGGGTAACTTTTTATCGCCGCTAAAGAAAAAAACAGATGTCTTAAAAAAAAAAATGATAGCAGTCTAAGGAATAGCTAGACTTGCAGCTAAAATTTTCTCTCCTGCTCTCTTTTTTTGCACATTGTCATTTTAATGTGGATGTAAACCCAATCCCTCAAATCTCTTATAACCTTTAACATATTAAAGCTGTAATCTATAAACAAAAATGTAATATATTGCAGCTTACCAATCACTAGATATGGTGGCTGCATTAGTTTTCTTTTTTACGCTTTTTCCCTTTGTTTTTACCTGGTGATCTGGCCAGTAACATACCTTCTGTATTAGAGCTCCCCCACTCTGAATGAAGGAGCACAGGGGGCACAGCAGACAGCAACATTGTCAGTCTGGAGGGAGAGGAGTGTTAGATGTACTAGCAGATTTAGCTACACTAATAAATTGAAGCCAAACTCCAGCTTTATAATCAGTTACAGCAAACTGTTTTTTTTTCCTATTAGGATAAAGGTTTTACATGAATAAAAGCTGATCATTGTAAGCACTCCTGTGAGTGGCAAATGGTTTGTCTCATCCCTGCAACTGCTACATTTGCAGCACAGCTTGTTCTTTTGAAAAACAACAGACTTACTGGCAGTGTCACAAGGTGAAAATAAAGGAAAGAAATCCTAAAAAAGAAAACTACAGCCATCACATCAAATATTGGTAAGCCGCAATATAATAAATGTTTGTTTTTGGGTTTAATACTGGTTTAATATCAATCTCAGGTCATTTTTAATCTTTTAAAATCAATATAATCCCTATTGATCCTGCCATGAAGGTCCTTGCTTCAGTACTTCTTGTTTTAGGGTGACATTAGTGATGAGTAAGCAGAGCAAAGCTTGGTTTGCTGGGAATTTGCCGAACTAAAAAAATAAATGGAGAATCATGAACAATGAGCCAGACCTCATTGAAGTCTATGGGAGCCAAGTCTTAGATTGTTGTTCTGAATTCTTTTTCAAGATGAACTCGCAAGCTCTGGGAAAAAAAGGGCATGGGTAGCTGGGCACCGCCATAAGGGGCATGTACCAATGCAGAAATGTAAAAAATTTAATTAAAAAAATAAAAATTAAATATAATACGCAAGCCCTTTAAATGACATATTTGGAGTATGCCTTGCATATGAAGTGGCATGCCCATATGATGCACTAATGCAAAACACTTTCTTATACAAAGGAAAAAAAATATATAATTTGCTGCTAGATGACAATGGATTATAAGGGCACCCCACAAAAAAAAAACCTGTGGTTCACTTTATAAATTCATAATGCACCTTATCCTTGATGTTGATCTGGTATGGATTTTAAGGGGTTTCGCATGCAAAAAGACAAAAAAGGTATGGAGTACCCCCAAAGTACATACCAGACCCTTTACCTGGGAATGCAGCCTGGCTGGCCCAAAAAAGGAGATGGCTGCGATCGTGATACCACCATTAAATAAATGAGTGGTGCCACCACTAAGTAAATGAGAGAGGCCACCACTAAGTAAATGGGTAATGCCATCACTAAGTAAATGAGAGAGGACACCATTAAATAAATGAGTGATGACACCACTAAGTAAATGAGAGAGGCCACCACTAAGTAAATGGGTAATACCAACACTAAGTAAATAAGTGAGGCCACCAGTAAAAAAATGAGTGATGCCACCACTAAATAAATGAGTAATACCAACACTAAGTAAATGAGTGATGCCACCAATAAGTAAATGAGTGAGCAAATCACTAAGTAAATGAGTAATGCCACCACTAAATAAATGAGTGATATCACCACTA